CATGACAGAATTCTTACGTCACAGAAAGAAGGAGACTTTGGCACCTTCCTCCTAGCATGCTGGCCTGGGCTCCACTATTCGTCCTCCTCCCATGGAGAGCTTTTGGGTTCAAAAAGCTTGATATGGCTGATGATCATAGAATTCTAAACGTGGAATTTTCACCTCCTTTTTCCTATGACTTTGAATCAACGTGGGACCCCTCACATGAAGATTCCTTTTAAATGTCAGATCAGAATCTACTTAAAACCTATCACACCCTCTACCCCCAACCCCACCCACCAAAAGCAAGGGAAAAAAGAAGGCCCACCACCCCACCTATAATCCATGATTTTAATATGATATCAATTGAATTAATGTGAAAATAATCTCTCATTCCCTTGAAGTTGCGTTTGGATTGCAAAGAAACTGGATTTTCTTTTTTTTCGTTTTGGTCTGTGTTTTTGGGTGAAGGTGGAATTGTACAGATTTTTGAGCCCATTTCAACAATGGAGAGGGGTTTGGAAGCAAACATCTATGCCTTCCCAATTCTGCAGTTTTTGGAATTATAAATTTTTAAGCAGAGAATCTCGGAGGGCATTAATCCACCCTCCGATGCTGTCTCAGCCAACTGAGTAGTCAGTACTGTGTTTTGCAGTGGAAACTTCAATAGCAAATCCGTACTCAACCTATATGCGGGGATGGTGGCATCAAGAATTTCATGCACAATTCCATTTCAAAAATAAAAATAGGGCAAATTTTGTAAGCTATCGTTATGGTTTAATTAATTGATTAACATTATTTTTACTGTTTAATTATTGTCATGCACCATTCCTACTGTTTCTCACAATTGCTTAAAATCTTCTTTATCATCAATACTCCGTCATAAATCATTGACATGTGACATCACGTAACTGTTATATTTTACAAAAATTCTTTACTTACCTTTTTATGGTCGAAAATGCCATGCTTTTATTCTTTTGGTGGGTTTGAACCTAAGTGCCTGGTCATATAATATTTGATTTGAGTGTTCAACTCCTTTATAGTCGACTATTGGACAATAGAGATTGATGAGGGCGGATTTGGCTCTCCAATAACCTTATGACACATGGCATCCCAAAACATCTGGACAACACCCAAACGCCACCTAAGCGATGATTTGGAGTCCCAGATCGTAGTTCGTCTTCGCCCCGACCTGGCGACCGGCCTTTATCTCCAACTTAGCGACATCAACCACAACTTAGGTCGGTTTGCAGCACCTTGTCCAGGGCCGACCTGTAGCACTTCATCACTGGCCGAAGTGACCTCGACGCGAGGCGCAACCTCCCTTGAGGGCTTGCCGACCTGACTAAGGACCAAGCGGTGACCTGCGAGATGTGCTCCCCGACAAATTTGGCATGCATATCTCGACACTCCCAAGTTTTTCGGAAGTTGGCCCGCGTATTGAATGTTTCGGAGGATGGTCAAAGTGCATAGCGGTTACCTCCGAGGGTTTCGGACCGGTAAGGCACAACCTCCCAGAAATCTCGGATGCGGTGCGTGAAGCCTACGCCAAACAATGCCTATATAAAGGCACCAACCCTAATGACACAGGGTGCGCGCGGTTATTTGCTCACTAGCCTACTTGCATTCAAACTTTTTAGTTCGCAACTAGAGTACTATACTAACTTAAGCATCGAAGTGACCTCGCCGGGTTAGCTACCCCGAGTTCTCTGATCGTGTTTCTTGCAGTTGAACCAGTCCGCCAAGCAACTAGCGTCCACATAACCTTCCAGCTAGGAGCTTCCAGATCGCGCACCATCAGAGATGATGAAGCAACCCCTCACGGATCAGCTTCTAACTCCTCGTCTCAACCTAGAAGATCTGACACCATCAAATAGATAGGAGAAATAATGAACCTATTGTAGAACTCTCTCTCTCTCACCTTCTGTCTATCTCACTAGAACAGAAAGGGAGAGGTGTATTATTTGGCTGTACCGTTTCTCTTAGTCTCTCTCACCCTCAACCTCAAGCTATTCCCTTGTTACCTCTATGGGGCATGGTCGACCATGCAAGGTTGCAAAGCATGCCGATAAAGCTGATGCCTGTGTCATGAGCAGAGATTTGAAAGGGAATTGATTAATTAGACAACTCCCAAATGAGATTGGCAATTGTGTTCCTCTTAAAACTATCTCTACAAGAGAGGCAACGATTGAGGAGTGTGGGAAAGAAGGGATTCTGCTTTGAGACAGACGTAAGAGGCAGAGATGGAGATGGAGAGGAGACAAAGGCATAGACGGAGACGAAAACGAAAAATGGAGATAGAAACGGAAACGGAGATGGAGAAGAGGGAGACGAAGATAGAGCATCGACTTTCCTGAAAATTTTCATTAATTGGGTTTTATTTTGGAAATTTGAGAAATAATAGAGGATAAATTTAATATTTTATTTGTTTTCGTTAGCACTTAGTGACTGTGCCAATTGTTAGAAACAATAGGGGTGGTGCAAGACAATGTTGACTAGCTAAACCATAAGAATAGTTTAAGAAATTTGCCCATAAAAATATTATAAAAAAATTGAGAAAGTATAAATATAGGACAATAAATGCATGCGTAATAAATCCTCATCTTCTACTTAGTCTTGTCCGAACTACATGGGGGATATTTAATTCTATTGCTGTTTAATAAATGTTTGTTTGTAGGGTACTTTTCTTAAAAAAATGAGAAAAAGTTGTTTAGAAATGTTTTTCAGCTTTTTCTTTTTTGTTTTTATATAGCCAATTGCGAACAGTGAAAAAACACATTACCATTGGGGGAAATGGTATTTTAGTGTTTATCCCAAAGATGGCTCTCACACAATCTGAGAAAAATATTTTTTTGATAAACAGCTTAACCAAACAAAATTTCGAATTTCATTGGGGAAACACCTATTTGGGGCGGAATTAGTATTGACTATCTAATAAATTGGTAATGGAACCAAACGCTATTGGGTCAGTTATATGAATCCTATTTAATCACTCTCTTATGTTCAGTGCTATATCTGTCATTAAATTATGAACACTTAAATTTTTATTTATTTTTACTTCCACTAAGATCCTTCTCCAATTGCTCTTAGGTCTTCTAGTTCTTTCAACTTGTAAGAGCATCAAATGTGGTTTTATGAATAGGGCTCAGTTAGTTTAAATTGTTAAAGTTGAGCTCTAGTCACTTTTTATTTGGTAAATGAGGTCAGAAGTGGAATGCAATCCGAGATCCTCAGTCCTCACTCCCGTGATCTGAATACAAATATTTTGAAAATGACCACTTGAGCCTTGATGGGCTATTAGTCAAAGAAAGGGTGCGTGCAGCATATGGGCGGGTGTGGTGTTGAGAGTGAGAGCTTTGTCGAACAGTTGGCAGATAAGCCCCACCTCACAATGCCCAGCAACAAGTTGGGGTTGAAAAGATGCCAAACACCGAGCAGATGAGGCTCTCATTCTGCTTCTCAAGAATTCCTCATCATTATGCAATTAGAATGGGATGACTTGGACCATGACATGTCAAAGTTTTTGCCACATGGCACACGGCCGAGCGTACATTGGGCCAATTACAAGGCACCATATCAGCTCTATACGTGGGTCCTTAGTGTGATATCATGATTGATACAGAATCCTCCAGTTTCTCTATGTTGGCTTGACTAATGAATCATTGCTCATGTGGGGTCAAAGATGTGAGAGTCAGCTTGATTTCTTACCAAAAGAAAATTAAAATTTGTGTTGATTGTTTGAATGGCAATTCTTGGGTTCAAAATTCCAGCTTGCTAATTAGATAAAGTCTTCAAAAATCCACCCTGAATTCTAATTGTATGATGCCAACTATGTTGAAAAAACAAGGAAGCTCTGCCTCTGGCCCATGAGAACTCTCTTGTCATCCAGTGTTTTTTTTGGTAAACCAGGAAGGGAGACCACAACACATTGCTGCCCACGTTCAGCTAGCTACAAGTTGAGAATATCAGTAGTCACAACACAACACGACCGATGTCCCATGTGTTCGGCTGGGTGAACGTGGCCAACAATGTACTATGGTTAGCGGATCCAAACTCATACAAGCCTAGGGTAGCTTTCCCTTGGCAAGAAAATAAAACATCCTAATAGTATATGATCGTAGGATTGTTGATCATCGGGAACAACTTTTCCATTGACAACTCCTGCATCACCACCCCCATTTACCAAAATTGAACGGGCCTGAGAACTTTGTTAAATAATACTTACATTACATTATCATTGAGCAGAGCCGGACCACAAAGGTCTAATAACATCCAAACCTCTTTAGCCGCATTCATCATAGTTAGAGATGGTAATTTTATGGGAATTTTCGAGTATCCAATCCGCTTTGATCCTAATAAAACTCATTTATCAAAATTCTATAGAGTTTGGGACGGGTATGGGTTTTGACTTTAGGGTATCCGGTATCTGATATTCGGAATGTATAAATATAAACTTATTATATATCATGCATAAATTTATAAATTTTAAGTACTAAGATAATCATTTTATTTATATAAATTTTTTGGGATTTAAATCATCATTTGATGTAAATTTGGATTTGATATATTGTTTATTTCATTTAGTTATAAAATACTAATTTTAAATATTATTTTTTTATTTTATCTGAAATTGTTAACCATATATGCATTGATTATTTCGATGAATACAAAAAGGTAAGATGGTTTAATGACTTAAAGTAGTATTAAGAGATTTGACGCTATCATTAATCGATCTAGATTCAAGTCATATTATAAGTTTTAAGAAACATTTTTTTTTTAATAGAAAGCGTTTGATCAAGAGATTTAACGGGTGCGACGGGTCAGAATGGATTTAAGACGAGACGGATTTGAAAAATTGAGAGGAAAAATTAAATGGAACTCAGTCATTGTACTTACCTAACGTACCTACTACGTCCGGACCGGCAATTTACGCGGATACAGAGTGTAGAGTCCCGTAGACTTAACATCTTCCTATTAAAACAAGGCTTGTTTACCCTTTTTTTCAACTTGTATATGAACAGTCTCATATAGCTTTAAGGACTCATCCAACAAAAGTATGACAAACCGTTTTCGGCACAATTCCCATTCAGAACGGCCAACACGTAGTCTTATCTAGTTATCTGCTTGGCTTCCCATTTTGGAACTTGTGCCACAATAATCCAAGGATCTAATCGTTTGGGACTGTTCTGGACTTCTGGTTGCCTTTGACTCCAAAGCCGGCGGCACAGGCGCAAGGATCAAAGCATTTAATTATCTTCTTTTGGCTCGGCGAAACGCGTTTCTGACTTTCTTTTCCTTTTGGCTGGCCGCTGACCTGGTCTCATGGTCTCTATGGCGCGTCGCTCATTCAACTCCAACCCTAAGAACCGACGCAATTGTAGTATTACCCAGTTGGTAAGTTCTGATTTTCTGAACTAATTGGTGCAGAGTGTAGACAAATAGGACCCAGATAAATCTTCTTGGTACTTGTTAGTTACTCTGTCAGTTATTTCTGTTCGAAAGGGAAGTGCAAATATTGGTGGGAAGACGGAGCCAAAGTTAACATGCTAATTGCCATCCCTCGACATCAGGAACTCTACAAACTAAATCTGAACCAGTTTGTGCTGTCTGTATTGGAGAAATGCAATCATCTCAACCATCTCAAGCAGCTCCAAGCCTTCCTCCTCACGCTTGGCCACGGCCAGACTCAGTTCTTTGCGTTCAAGCTTGTTCGCTTTTGTATTCTCTCACTCTCCAACCTCGCTTATGCTCGCTTCATCTTTGACCATCTTAAAGCACCCAATGTCTATCTATACGCTGCCATGATCACTGCGTATGCATCCCAACCTGATCACAGATCGGCGCTTCTTTTATATCGGGATATGATCCGTCGAGGACGCTCTCAACCCAATCATTTCGTCTACCCATTAGTCTTAAAGTGTTGTTCCGAGGTATCTGAAACTCATGGGGTTAAAGCTGTTCATACCCACATTTTAAAATCGGGTTTTGGAGGACACCCAGTTGTGCAAACTGCTCTGGTCGATTCGTACTCGAGGGCCGGTTCGGATATAGGAATTGCTCGCCAATTGTTTGATGAAATTGTTGATAGGAACGTTGTGTCTTGGACAGCGATGATTTCGGGGTATACACGGCTTGGACAAATGGGGAATGCTATCCTGCTTTTTGAAGAGATGCCTGAAAGAGATGTTCCATCTTGGAATGCTGTCATTGCCGGATGCACGCAGAATGGTCTATTCACAGAGTCGATCTCATTATTCAGAAGAATGATAGAAGAATCTGAGAAGCCAAATCAGGTCACAGTCGTCTGTGCACTCTCAGCCTGTGGTCACCTTGGCATGCTTCATGTTGGTAGATTGATCCATGGTTATGTATATAGGAATGGCCTCGGTCCCAATTCGTTTATTGCAAATGCTCTTGTAGATATGTATGGAAAATGTGGTAACTTGAGGGAAGCAAAAAGGGCTTTCGACAAGGCATCAGAGAGAGGCTTGACCTTATGGAATTCCATGATCAATTGCCTTGCACTGCATGGGCAAAGTGAGAGTGCAATTAGTGTCTTTGAGGAGATGAGGGAGTTTGGAGGTGTAGTGAGGCCAGATGGGGTTACCTTTGTTGGTTTGTTGAATGCTTGTACCCATGCAGGATTGGTTGAGCAAGGTTGTAGGTATTTCAAGTTGATGACTCAAGAGTATGAGATTGAACCTCAAATTGAGCACTATGGGTGTGCGATAGACCTACTTGGTCGAGCTGGTTGTTTTGAAGAAGTCATGAAAGTCATAAGAAGTATGAAGATTGAACCTGACGAGGTTGTTTGGGGTTCTTTGCTTAATGGTTGTAGGATTCATGGGCATATGGAATTGGCAGAATTTGCTGTCCGGAGACTGCTCGAAATTGATCCAAATAATGCGAGTTATGGTGTAATGTTAGCCAATATATATGGTGGGCTAGGAAATTGGGAAGAGGCGAGGAAAGTGAGGAAGATATTAAAAGAACAAGGATTAACAAAAACTCCTGGGTGCAGCTGGATTGAGATTGATAGCCAAGTCCATCAATTTTACTCTGCAGATAAGTCGCACCTTCAAACAGAGGAGATATACAAGATTTTGCAGCTTCTTCTTGGCTTTCATTAGCCAAAATCTGCTGGGCCCTTCTTGGGCCTTTAGTATATGAAGCTCAAGCTTACAACACAATAATGGATGGAGGCAAATTAATGATGAATTTTGCTAAATTATGCAGAACTGGATGAGCATGCTGCTAATGATGAATTTTGTTAAATTATGCAAAATTAGATGAACATGATGCTAAAAGATGATTGACTGATCAGGATTTCTCCAAAGTGTGAACTGGTTCTTACTTGACCATTACAAATTGATTCTCATCTAGATTTAGATTTGGATTGACCCCCCATCTTGTGTAGCACCTCCTTGTTTTATAAAAAAAAAAAAGATTTGGATTGACCCAACTGTCAATTGATTCTCAGGTAACTATTCTCGTATTATTCTCTGAATGGGCTGAGATAGGTTCATACTGTGAATTTGATTCTTTGCAATTCAACATCAGTTCGGCACAGATTGAGAATTTGTTCTAGGTGAGTTCAAAACCAATCCAACCGAATCATTTGGAAGACAGATTCGATTGGTTAATTAGAAGGCAATGAAGATATCTATCCATTCAATGTATCTACCATATCTTGTTTTTCGTCTCTAAAAAGGATGGCTATTTAAAGCTTTAGCATAAAAAGGAATTGTCTTTTTCACTTTTTCATTGTCTGGGTGCATACTGAGTATGCTATCAAATGAATCAACCAAGTTGTTCCATTTTGAAACTTAGATCAATAATAGACCCAAACCAAGCCAATTGGGAAACAATAACAATCAATGAAGCAAGAACTTGGGGAGATCACACAGAGAGGACAAATAAAAAGAAAGAGTCGCATTATCTTACAGAATTATAAAAAGCCACCCCCAATTACAAAGCTTCAAAACATGTATCAAACTCCCTTCTTTTTCACCACAATAAAATCATCTTAAAAAAACCCTGAGAATTGAAAAGAACAAAATATAACCGTTTTGTTTTTTATCACTTGACTTCACAGTTCAAACCATAACCAGACGGATAATATACAATACCTCAGAGGATAGACACCTTACCAGCCCTCAGAACAGAAGAAGAAGAAGAAGAAAGAACATGAAGAAAAAAAGGAGAACCTACAACTACTACTATCAGTGTGATCACAGCTGATGATCACACAGCTTGTGATGGACTTCGATTAGCAGCGGGAGTGCCATTAGCTGGTTCTATTCTTCTCATCATTAAACCTCCCTGCTTCTGCGACTGATCATCTTCATCATGGTATACATATGCAAAGCCACCGTGCCGGGTTATATCAATTCCGGCCATCTCATCCTCAGCCGATATCCTCAGCAAATTCATCTTATTTAACACATAAAACAGAGGACCCATGGTGGCACTCACCCACCCAACAATCGTCAAAATCTGGATAATTTGAGCAGCTAAGAGCTTTCCACCTCCTCCCATGAACAGCCCATATGGCCTCCATGTGGCCTGGTATACCTCCTGCACATATATGTCCCTTGCAAACAAGCCCGTGAATATAAGACCCCAAGTTCCACAGCCACCATGCAATTGCGCAGCCTCCAGTGGGTCATCATATTTGAACTTCTCAGCAAGCTTGTTGCATCCAATCAAGACCCAGGACGCGACGAAACCGCAGACGATAGCAGCCCATGGCTCAACCACTGAGCAGCCGGAGGTGATTGCCGCGAACCCACCAAGCAACCCATTGCACACATCGGTAACGTTCCAGTGTCCTGAAATCAACCTTTTCCCGAACAGAGTGGTCAGCGCAGCCGTGCAACCGGCCAAGGTCGTGGTCACTGCAGTCCGGCCGACGGCACTCCACTGTCCGTAGTAGTTCCCGGAGTTATACGCCTTCATGATGGTTAAAAACGAACCCGGGTTAAACCCGTACCAGCCGAACCACAGTAAGAAGGTACCCAATACGACCAAGGATGCGCTGTGACCACGCAAAGCTACAGATCGACCGGCATGATCAAACCGGCCAATTCTAGGCTCCTCAATGAGAGCCCCCCAAAGTCCAGCTATACCTCCGACCAAGTGAACTACACCTGATCCGGCGAAGTCTATGGCTCCGGATCCGAACAACAAGTTATCGTTATTGAAGGCACTGGCCCAACCGTCAGCCGACCAGAACCAGTGAGACACAACCGGGTACACGAAACCCGTCAAGAAGGCCGAATAAATGAGGTAAGCGACGAACTGGGTTCTCTCCGCTATAGAGCCGCTGGTGATCCCGGCAGTAGCGATGGCAAAAGCCCATTGATACAGGAAGTTACTGTAATCGAACAGCTCTGACGGGAACGCCTTCATGCCGAAGAAGTGACGGCCGATGAAGCCGTTGGAAGGAGAACCGAAGGCAAAGGCGAACCCGAAGAGATAGTAAAACAGACCCCCAGCGGCCGCGTCGAGCACGTTGGTGAGCATTATGTTCATGGTGCTCTTGGCTCGAACGGAGCCGGCGCAGAGCATGGCGAAGCCCAGTTGCATAGCGAAGACGAGGTAGGCCGAGAAGAGCAGGTAAGTGTTGTCGATGGCATGAGCAGCGTCCGTGAAACTATTCTGCACGGCACTGAACTGGCTGCAGATGTAATCGGCGGCGGCGGTGGCGTTAGCGGTGCCATTTAAGAGTGGGACGAGATCGGAGGCCAAACAGGCCATGGCCGGACGTCTAGAGAGAGAGAGAGAAAAAACGCAGAAGAAAATAGGTATTGAGTCCTGCGACTTTAGAGAAATTTTGGTCCTTCGGGAACCGTTTTTATATAGAGACCGAGAGAGATACGCTCCAAGCCAAACGAGAGTATCTGACTCGTGTTTTGACTTCGTTTAGGTACGTAACGTGATTATCGGATGCTTTTAGGGGTAATTTAGGGAATTTGATTGATATTTTAACTAAACATGAGTTTTGGTTCCGAAATTCTTTCGCTGTTTTCCCGGGGCTCAGGATTTCACAATTTAAGAAGACGTTTTTTTTTTTATTTTTTATTTTATTAAATCTTTTGCTTAGTGTGGTTATTATTGGGTGTTGATAAGGGCTATTTTGTCTGGTGGCAAAGTCTACGCAATGGTGATGGTATTGGGGTGATGAGCATGTGGGCCCCACATAGGGATGGGGACAGATGGGTCATGGGTGTACAGCCGACAGCGGGTATATCAATGGGTCGGGTTCAGTAAGAATTCGAGTTGGTTGAGCCCAACCCGAACCGGACCTTACTGAACTAAATCCAACCCGTCCCACATATAAGTACAAATATACTCGAATTAGCCTGCATACATGAACACATTTCAATGCTGCAACTTCAACGTATCGGTTTAGCGGGTCTACTTCAACCTGAACCCCGACTCAAACCCGACATGTTAGGTCAGTGCAGGTTTACCACCAAGTCCGGATCACCGGCCAATAAAACATGTTTCAACCCTCTCTATTCGTTCTGTTGTCAGAAAATATCAACTCTTTACCCCTATCTTTAACAGTGGGCCCCACCTTTTGCTGCTGGACTGTTACACACTTACATCCGGTGAATCCATATATAGGGGTGGTTGATACAGTGATACTCACGTGGGTAAACAAGTTAGTTAGCTCTGGCCTCTCGCTCGCTGCAAATTGTAGTTAGGTGTCCAATTCGGTTCCGGGTTTAGAGTTGTGCTCGGGTTGGCCGTTTTTTTTTCTCAAATGTTTTTATTTATTATACCTTAAAAATTTTTCAATTCCAATTTAAAAATTGTTGATATTCATGTATGCCTAGATAAATACATACATAGATATATAAATAAATAAAAAATAAGAACATACATACATATATATTAATGAATGCTTAATTGTACATATACATGCATCCCACATGTATGCAAATATATAATAAGTATTTATATATATGAATTAATATTTACATAATATTTATACATATAAATATAAAGCTAAATCAGGTTCGAGCTGGATAGGATTGGCCACGGCCTCAACCCTAACCCAATCTGAAATTAAGTGGTTCATATTATTTAACCCGAACCCTAACCTGAATTTTAACTTGACTTTTTTATTGTCCCGATTAACCCAACCCAAGTTGCAGCCCGAATTCTAGCATGTCCAATGCTATTTCTTGTGTTCTGTTCTATTTTTTTTTTCGGCACCGTGCATGAAAAGTATTACCTTTTATGTATTTACTTTTTGTTATTTCACAAGAATTAGCAAAAGTATTATTATTTATTTACCTTTTCTGTATTTAAAAGGGATATATTTTGCCAGGTGGCAAAGGTTTTTAGCTAAAAAAAGAGATAACTACCAAACACCAAGATTCGTTTTAGGTGGTAACCTAAGCGAAAGCTATCACATGAGAGATTCAAGGGGGGCCGGGTAATTTGAGATTCCTTTTTGGAGGCTGAAAGGGTTTTCACATGCCTTACCTAAGTCAGTCTATTGACATGTGCCGAGTTTGACCCGGTTGTGGTGTGTCCAAAACGTGAAAACGACAAAAGATCCACAATCTCATACTAGGGTTCATCCAGAGATTCAGAAGGATTCTAATTCTGTTCTTTTAAGGGGAAAAAGGTAGACATATGAACAAGGATTCTAATTTAGGCAGAATTTTAAATGACCAGTGACTAACCTCTTCCTCTAACTTTAGAATCTCTGCCAAAGGAGGAATTGAGAGTTTCCAAATCCCATATTTCTGGAATTTTGGGTTAGGGGCCTTTGGAGAAGGAAAGGGGGGGGGGGGGGGGAGAATTTCATTTCTGCCCTCGAATTCCATCTATCCAAACACGGTTTTAGATTTGTCAACAGCCCCCAAAGCCCATTGTAACAAAGATTTATAATTAAGAATCCCCAAGTTCGGGCAGACGTTTTTCCATGAAGAATGGTAATTACATTGCGTCAAGAAATCTCTCTCTCTCTCTCTGCGTAATTACACCTCTTCTTAATTATCAACTTAATAAAAAAAAAACTTTAAAATAAACTGTTGAATCAAGGATTGATGATCACTTGATCAAGACAAACTTCATCCATGATCTCATACATCTAAGTGGCAACTATGAACAGTCGAGGCGATGACATCGATCACTCCTAAGACTATTGTTTTTTACCAAACACAGTTAATAATTTTTAGTTGATATAAATCAAATGACATTTATCAATTATATAATTGTAGATTAAAACTTCATTACGATTTTGTTGGTCTACAAAAGAAAATAAATAAATGAAACTGGTTTACAGATTGTGCTAAGCATGCTTGGTGATGGTTTTGAAAATCACACTTAATTTGGTATCCAAATATAACCATCAGCAACCTAATTGCTTACTTAATCTTTAAATTAATCTCACCATTTTAATTTCATAAAATCTTGAATTACATTACYCCGGCAACACCGATGACGACAATGGCGATAATTTTTATATTGGGGTCTTTGTCATCTAGTCATTTGATAATAATAAAAAAAAAAAAAACCCTTTTCAATGTGTTTAATGGACTAGCTTATTACAAATGATCATTTGTTTAAGAGTAATGATCTAATTATTATTTTCTTTTGGGTGGATAAAACATAATTGACCTGCAAAACATTTGAATAATTTGACTTTTCCACATTATTTTCTATAAAATAAACATACTTAATTATTTATATTAGTGGCTGTTGGCACCTGTTTGTGTATAAAGCTTAAATCATGATTCATGAAGAATGAAAAAGTAAAAGACAAAATTGAAAAGGACCTATGAGAGCTTGGTTTCATGGCTGCTTCCTTCTGAACTACAGACCAAAGTTTGAAAGAGATCATCTGACAGTACTTTTTAACCACATGAAATTTCTGTGGTGGTGGTGGTAGATAAGGAGTATTCTATACCTTAAATAACTTAATCACTGTACACTTAGCAATTAGTGGGTACATAGAAGGTAGGGCTTATTTGGTCCTAGTGTTGAACCAAAAAAATGAATCTTTATGGAATTGAAATTCCACCATTTGGATGATTCACCAAGTGGGCCTTTCTTAAATGACTGTTTGGAAGCATTTATAAGGAAGTTGTCATTCAATTTTCAGTGCTGACATTTGATATGAAAGCTGCTGTTTTTTTTCCCCACTGTAATTTGGTGCACCCACAATGAACACAGAACAGTGTCAAGTGTCAGCATTAGATAATCTTCATTTTGTCCTTAGATCATCATCTCCTGTGCTATGTTAGCTCAAACAGTCTCTTACATAATTCCCTTGCAAAAATAATACATATATTGAAGGCCATTCTTGTGGTCCAGCAACAAGTAATTTAGGTTCAGCTCATTGTTTAACCATATAATATTAGTAATGGTAGAATCAAACATTCCATGATGTAGAGAAATCATGCCTACACTGAATCACTGATCATTTCAAGAATCAGATTAGCCCAAGGCAACCACAGTATTTGAAGATTGAGCTAAGCCCATAAAAATATCATATTTGTTTAAGACATAGTATAATAGATCTGATCATCAAAACCTAGCTCCATTGACTGGTAAATTTCATATTTTGATTTAGCCTGTCAAATCTCAACCTGAGGCCTGAGCTGGGCTTCCATCATAGACCTAGGAACTGGGCCAAATTCGAACCAGATAAAGTCCAACACATTAGGCTCTAAAAGAGATTCAGTTGGACTAAAAATTTGAACTAAATTCTTTTACTATTGTTGTGACAATTCAATAATTTTAGGGTTATGCTTGGCTACCATCTTATAATTATATTATTATAAAATAATGAAACAGAATAAACCCTACAACGACCTATTACAACCTACAGCTACAAGTTCTGTTCTCATCACATTTGAATAGTTTAAACCCTTAACTTTAATAATATTATGAATTAAACAAATCTACCATTAGCTCTAATCTCACTATTTTAAATTTAATCTCTATGTGATCTTCTTTTTAATCTGGAATGGAATCAACCGTGGATACTCGACCCTGTGGACTTCTTACATGTCAGAATCAATTTTGTCAGCTCCCATATTCAGATAAATATTTTATATATATAGGGAATCTTCTACTAGTATGTCTACATTTAAGTATAAATTTAGTAATTAGTACACATCTAACAAGAATGATACAGTATTAATGGCTTGTATCTTATTGAAATGGCAAACAGGTTTGGAGAACCAAGTCATTGGATCATGAATTATATACATTTACTTCTGGAGTTATATATCTATTTATTTTTTAAATGTTTTTTTTTTTTGTGGGTCTACAAAATAACCATGATGCCGTGGGCTGGTCCATATGCTGGTGCCAATATCAGAACTTACCCATGGTTCAAAGTATCGATACACGCGATACACAAAAATTGTATATTRTGCGATTCGAAGGGGTGATACTCATAATTTTAAAAAAGTCAGGTTTCAAGATCCTAAATTCGGTTATTTGCCGTTTTAGTGAATTGAAAAATGAATATGTTGCGATATTTTGAACCTTAAAAGACATACTTGACCCGGATACAATTGGACATGGCTTCCATACAAATGGGTCATTTGCAATTTGAAGCTTGTTGCCAAAGAAGTCCACAGACAAAGGGTTGTATGCAAGTCACTGAAATGGTACTTTGGGTCAGAGTGATTGATTACTTAAATACTCCTTGTCTTTAATAAGTTGGTTTACATCTCAGTTGAGATTCTCAAAATAAAAACAACATTGAGAGAATCCTTCATAGTAGATTCATTTTACAGTTTAAATCTCAAAACATTTGCTTCTTGAGAAAGGCTGTTATATTGTTTTGAATATGATAAGTTGT